CACTTAAATATTTTCTTGGAATCGAGATGGCAAGGGGTCACTCCGGTCTTTTCCTTTGTCAAAGAAAATATGCTTTAGACATTTTAAATGAAGCAGGTATGATTGGTTGCAAACCGGCTGATTTTCCGATTGAGCAACATCACCGCTTGGCTCTTGTTGATGGGAATGACTTTTCCGATCCTGCTCGTTATCGTCGTTTAGTTGGTCGCCTTGTGTACCTTACTATTACTCGGCCTGAGTTATGTTATGCGGTCCATACTTTATCTCAATTTATGCAAGCTCCTAAGCAACAACATTTTGATGCTGCCTTGCGTGTCTTGCGATACTTAAAATTGAACCCAGGTCAAGGTCTGATGCTACCCACAAATAATAACATGCAATTATATGCCTATTGTGATTCAGATTGGGCAAGTTGCCCTATTACACGACGTTCTCTTACTGGTTATTTTATAACTTTTGGTTCTTCTCCCATTTCATGGAAGACTAAAAAGCAAGCTACTATCTCTCGTTCATCGGCGGAAGCTGAATACCGATCAATGGCCGCTGCCACTTCAGAACTATTGTGGATAAAATCTTTCCTCGCTGCCCTTGGAGTGTCCCACCATCAGCCTATGCAACTTTTTTGTGATAATCAAGCAGCTTTGCATATTGCTGCCAACCCAGTCTTTCATGAACGCACGAAACATATAGAACTGGATTGTCACTTTATTCGCGAACATCTCATGGCCAAGACAATTTCTACAACTTATATCCGCTCAGAGATGCAGCCTGCTGATATCTTTACTAAAGCTTTGGGACACAAGGAATTTCATTTTCTTCTCGGCAAGTTGGGCATTTCCTCCCTCCATTCTCCAACTTGAGGGGGAGTATTAGAAGATAAAAACAATCATGTTTTTGATCTTTTGTAACAGTTGTAATGTTATTGATCTTTTATAACTATTGTAATTTTTGATCTTCTGTAACAGTTGTAATGTTATTGATCTTTTATAACTATTGTAATAATTTGTTTTCAATATTTTGTAACAGCCATGTAATTACTTAATTTCAATCTTTTGTAACTGTCATGTACCTGAGCGTCTATATATTATGGGCGCATTTCTTCAATAAGAGGACATCTGATATTCAAAGTTATTATTTAATATCAAAATGTGTCCCAACGTGTCAAAATCTAATATTTTTAGAATTAACGTGTCGAAGTGTCGTGTCGTGTCGCGTGTCACGTGTCGGTACCGGTGCTACATAGGTTGAATTAATAAAATTCAATGTTAAAAAAAGTTGTTAAATAATATAAATATAACTAAATTTCAAGGTTATTGGAATAAATGATAACTCATCTGCAAATTCTTGAAAATAGATTTAAAAAAAATTGAATTGGTTGGCTATACATAAATTTCACATTTACACATTTTGCCTAAAATTCCGTTGACTCAATTTTGGTCAAGTTATTAATCGAGTCATAAGCAGGTTCATTTTAAAGAAATTGCCCCCGTCAAAATATAAGGTGAACTCGTCCCATGAGCATAGTCTAGTTCCAGAGCAAGAGATAGTATTATGTCACCTGAAAACAATTCACAAGGCCAAGAATTTGGGAAGAGAGAAGCGAGATGAATGTTTAGACAAATATAAAACAATTAATATAGAGAGAGGATATTTTTTAGGGATAGAATAATATGACACCCAAGTTATGTTACACCCATGTGACACCCAGTCAATCTCACCGTTAGATCGCTTATGTTGATCCAACGATTATATTTATTTACATCTTTGTATGGTTATGATTTCCCAAATTTAATATTTTATATTTATTTCTACCTTCGTATGGTTATGATTTCCCATATTTAATGCTTTCACTTTAAATTTGGAAAATCATGACCATACAAAGATGGAAATAAATATAACCGTTGGATCAACATAAGCGATCTAACGGTGAGATTGACTGGGTGTCACATGGGTGTAACACAACTTGGGTGTCACAATATCCTATCCCTATTTTTTATGCTTACCTTTTTTATACCTACTCTACCTACTCATCTCCAATACAATTGGATCAGAATCTCATAGAAAAAAAAAGTGAAATTGATGAGATAGAATATACAAAACAAGACTACCAATTGATGATAACTCAGTTGGCGCCAGAGAACTGAGTAGATAGAGGTGAAAGTATATGTTTGATCCTCCCTGATAGCATCTTTGGGAGGAATTTAAAATCTTAATCTCAGGACCCGTCTCGAATCAGACTAATCACAAAGCGATGAACCAATTGGAATATCTCCAATATATATATATATATATATATATATATATATATATATATATATATATGGGTTATGTTTATCTCATTTTACATGAGATAAACTTTCCTACATACACAAAAAAGATTGGGTCCCACAACTCTTTTTTCTCTCTCCTCTTACCTGTGGATCCCACTTGTAATTTTATTTCTACAACATAAAAGAAGTGTTTCCATATATATATAAACCAAGACCCGCTCCAACAAGATAGGGCAAAAAGTGAAGAGTATTGAGCATCTTGTATGTGTCCACTGACAAGTTGATTACCAAAATTTGATTCAATTTTTTTCCAAAATTAAAAGTAAAAAAGGAATCATTTTTACAGACAAACAGCATAATGCATTCCATGCATGTTCAAACTCTAGTATTGTTATGATGAACAAATTCAAATAAGTATACAAGCTGAGATCACAGGAATTCATCACCAAGAAACTAGTCTACTTCTGAATGAAGGAAAGACTTACAACTGGAATTCACCACAGGAATTACATGGTTGAAAAATTAATTGCACAACCAAACATTTAATAAGTTAATGTCTTTGGTGGTATACCCAAAGATATTCAATATATATATATATATATATATATATATATATATATATGGGCTTAACATTTCTGCAGCAGCCGAAGATAGTGTTACCTACAGCTGACACAGAAAAGTGGGCCCCACGGCTTCTTAAAAAAAAAAAAACTCAGGATCTATTGCCGTATCCTAGGATTCGGACGTGTATCCTTGCTTGCTGTAGGTACAGCAGCTGCAAAAATCATTTTGCCTATATATATATATATATATATATATATATTCTGCAGCCGCTTTACATACAGTAATGACAGGTGTATGATTATGATTCCTCGCATTTAATGCTTTTAAGTATATATATGACAGGTATTTGATTGCTGCACGTACAGCAGCTGCAAAAATGTAAACATATATATATATATATATATATATATATATATATATATATATATATATATATATATGTAGGGTTAGGATCATTTTACACCAGTGTAAGTTATACTCTTAATCTTGTCCGCTGATCCCACTTATATTTAATGGTTCAAATTTTTTAGTAATGTGAGTCATTGGATGCAAATGGATAAATGGTCAAGATTGAGTGTAAGACTTCTAATTTTTACACCAGTGTAAGAATATCCTGCCCCATGTATATATATATATATATATATATATATATATATATAGAAAGCATTAAATTTCAAAAATCATAACTATTCAAAAGTAGAAATAAATATAAAACATTAAATATGAGGAATCATAACCATACAAATGTGAAAATAAATATGTTTCCTTTTTCTGCAATTAATTTTGAAAGCGAACTTCCTTTTTCTCATCCAAAACGACGTAGTTTTTAAGTGACTGCATCAATACTTATATGCAGTCACATTACAAATCATTTTGCCTATATATATATATATATATGGTCCATGGTGGCATTAGCTACTTATATCCATTTTGATGCATATTTGACCGCCCAAGCATCTACGCAGTGCAAAGAATATAATATTTTCCATAGCAACTAAGGGTGTTCATCAACCGATCCAACCGATTCAAACCGCGGTAACCGAACCGAAAAATCGATAATCGAATAAATCGAAAACCGAAAAACCGAGAACCGAATAAAAACCGCAAATTTTAATTGGATTGGATCGGTTTCCGGATGGGTTGATGAAAACCGATCCAATCCAAACCGATCCAATATATTAATTCTCCTCTACCTACTTGGGTCTTTCCTCCCATCGTAGCCCAAAAATTTTTAAACCCAAGACCTATTAACCTATCAACTAAACCCAAGAAAAAACCTAGTCACATCTCATCAACAAAAATTTATTTGTGTAAAGCATCATATCTCATTGCCAAAAAAAAACTATATTATCATTTACTTTTCTTTTTAATTTTTTTTTTACAAAGCCTATTATACAAAAAAATGTTATTTGCACAATAACCATAAAACAAATTTTAAGATTTTTAAAAGACCGAACGATCCAATCCAAACCAAAAAAAATTGGATTGGATCGGATCGGATTTGAAAAAAAATCCAAACCGAATGAATGATGACATGATCAAACCGAAGAGATTGGATCGGATAATTTTTGCTTCTAAAACCGATCCAATCCAGACCGCGAACACCCCTAATAGCAACCCCCAACAGTTCATTAATATTGCTTGGCTAAGATTTGATTATAAGCCCAACCCCTTGTTCATGACATAAGTACTCATAAGAAACTCAAAAACTTCTTTATCCAAATGAAGTGGTTCAAAAATCTGAAATACAGAAAGTCCGATATGTAACTCCAAGCTGTTGAGCTTCTTTAATAAATTGAAGTGCAAGTATTGTCTTACCAGCAGCTTCTCGTTCATAAATTTCCACAATCCTACCCTAAAATGTTCAAATCTGATACCTATTAAGGAAACTCATGAATATGGTAAAAAAAAAAAAAAATCCTAAGCTAGAAGAATCATCATTTCCAGCCATGTCAGTCAGGTACCCATCTGGAAAAAGTAGACTAACCAAAAATCAGATTATGTTAGCTGACAAAGTACCGAACTTTTTAGTTTATCAAAGGATCTTATTCCAATTTTAAATATTTTTATTATAAATTTTTTCCCTAATGTCAATAAAAACAGATCACAGATGCAATTATGAGCATAAATAAATAAAAGCAGCAATAGATCATGAAGGAGACAAGAACGAACAATTTGGCTTCAGCAAAAAATGACATTGCAGAGTTTATCAGTATATGCATAAACCTCTCACAACAGTGGGGATAATTCTTGAACTACAAACATGAAAAGACCATAAAGCTCTCTTATAAAAATGTATGAAAATTCAAAATGATGTCTAGTCTTCTTATAAGTCTTATTGTAAATTACTTGTTACCCATATACCAAAACTTGTATCTTCAAGCCACATTCACAAAACTGACCCCTTATAAGTTTCATAGGAGTCCTTGCAGTATAAGGTCTTTGATCTAAGCCTTTATCTTCATTTACCATGCATTAGGAGTAGGTACCTTGTCCACATAGGAACGGTCATAAGCAAAATTTCCCCTCCTTCCTCTATTGTTTCTTCTTCCTCTATTCATTTGATACTCGTTACCATGATATGCATGAGAAGTCTTAGACCATGCCATGTTTTCTCTTTTTCTATTATACCCATCCCATGTTCCCCATTTCCCATTCCCACCAGTTCTTCCTTTGCCCATGTTATTCAAGTCACCACCATGGTGCCCCCTCTGATTCCATCCCCAAGAATAATCATTCTGACCATTTTGCCACTCATATTCTTTTGCATGTTCAACAGGAGCACAATGCTGTTCCCAAGAGTCCACTCTTTGATTTTCATGCAGATTTGAGTCCCAACCTTGGTCAGCAGGATTTGGATCAGAAGGCTTTGGTATTTCTGCGTCCGCATCCCCCCATCCAGTACAGGAAAATGACTGATTCAAGAGCAGAGAACTACCAAGAATCACAACCTCCTCATCTCTTTCTTCCTCGCCGAGTACCGTTGCTTCTCTTTCCAAGTCTAGAAAGAGTTCAGGGTCAACACTTGAATTCCAATCTACATTGTCAATGTAAATGTCAGGATCAGGCAAGGATATGTTGCAGGGATGGCCGTTGATCTTAGCCCAAAACCTCCTTTTTGCATTGTCAAATGCCTCTTTGACAGCAGAGTCATCCCAGTTTACCACATTGTCATGTAGATACATGTACCTCTTGCAATCTATTAGCCTTGGCCATGGAACTGAACCAACTACAGCACAAAACTTCTTTTCCCATGAAGGCACAGTTGAATGACTACTATCTGTAAACCAAAAAGAATAATTCAATCAGCTGATAATTAAAGTGAGGACCTACTATCATACCAGGAATACATAATAATAAAAAGTGTCTCATAGTCTAAAGCAATTAAAAAACATGGTTTGCACAGAAGGGCAGCCAAGAAACAATATGGAAAATTGGAACAAAGGAAAGAGCCTCAGTAAAATGAATGGACACAAGTCACATTCATAGGATAATTTACATGAGAAACCAATATGAATACATAACATGCACTAAATAAATCTGAAGCAATAAGGGCTGTCCACAAAGAGATTTGCTTCAGTAATAACATTTCAATTTTCAATCCTTTTAGAGGTATTTTCCACTTTATCGGCAGAAAGAAAGCGTTACTCATACATTCTCCAAGCAAATATGCTTCTAATATACATGGCAAAAGAATGAATAACATGCAAAACTTGTGGAGAAAAAGTACAAGTAGTTCCAAAATATACCTAGAGCAACAATTACTCCGCATGTTTGTTTGATTTGAAGGTGTCACCAAAAAGATTCAATCAATAAATATCTACTTAGCAACTAGGTTATTAATAGGACGTGATTGCACTATGCAGGTAGCGGCCCCCCTTGGTTATTTCCGCCTTACAACATGATGATTTGCAGTAGCGGTCACTATGCCGCAATTACGGCCCAAATTGTGGCCAATCAAGGAGAAATTGCACCGGTATAGTGAAAAAAAGGGAAAATTCCCTCTTTGCCCTTGTGTAACTGGTGTCCCATGCTCAATTTAAGGGGATAAAATTGACTTTTATTCTTTTTTTCTGATACGTTACCGTTACACACTTTAGAACCCTATCTCTCTCGACTAACTGCCTCTCTCTCTCTCTCTCCCTCCCTTTCCATCAATCCCACCACTCACCAACCATTTTCTGGCAAGCCCACCACATTTCCTCAGTCGCACTTCATTTTGTCATCTGTTTTGGACTCATTTTGTGTTTTTCTGACAAGGCCACCTTTGTTTCCGCGAACCCACCTCCATTTTCTCCATTCCCTCCGCTGTCCGAAATTGATAACCATGCTTAGCAATTGGCAAAATATAGACACCTATGCCAAACCAAGAAAACTGACATTTTTATAGAGCAGAAGATACAAAAGATCAATGACTAAGCTTTCCTGTTTCAATAATTAAATGACATAGGTATTTGTTTCAAACATGCCTCCAAAAGTTAAAAACACAACACACTGGGTTATTATAAAGAATGTAGCGCAACTTAATGGGAAATTTAGTTATCTTTGCACTACTCTACTCCAATTCAATGATGTCACGTGTCGCTGGATGATCTAATCAATATATATCAACTTAGATATTGCCAAAATAAAGACAGTTTCAGTTCAAAACGTGACGGAAATCATAATGGCAACATGTACGAAAAATAGACTATGAAAGAAAATTTATTTTCATATAAGCTTTATGTAATTAGCCTCTTTCAATGTAGAAAGAGGAGCCTTGGCACAACGGCTGGCGTGTCGCCACGTGACCTAGAGATAATTGGTTTGAATCATGTAATCAACCTCTTCCAAACAAAGTAAGATTTCCTCCTACCTACACAATGATTCTGGACCTTGTGTGTAGCAGAAACTTCATATAGCACTAGGTTGCCTCTTTTTCTTTTTCTTTTACACGCTTCACCAATATAATGAGGTAGGGTTTTGTTTATAATGTGTCACTACTAAAAGATTCAATTTCTAGACATCCACTTGTAAATTGCCCAACTATAGACAGTTTGAGTTCAAAGCACAACACAAACAAAAAATATTACAGCGCAGACTTTGCAGAAGATCCACTACAAAAGGAAACTCAATTATCTTTAACCCTGTCCATTTCAATAATTCAATGATGTAGGGACTAGGGACCAATCAAACTGATGAACACGCAGACCTAACAACCTACCAACCAAAGAAATGGCAGCATTTCATAACCCAAAAGGCCCTCCCTTCGATTATTGAAATTCTTAGTTATTTTTGTTGACAAGGAAATGGAACCTAAGCTTCCATCTTAAGGCATAACCCCACCCTGCCCTTACCACTTGAGTCACACACAACAAAACCAAGTAGCTTGGAGCCTTGAATAATCAAAAGCTTAAAAGAGGCATCAAACCAGAACTCATCCCATGTGAAAATTTTTCAATATATATATATATATATATATATCTAACTAAAGCTAGTTCCTAGAAACCTATGACAAAGCATAAAATTAGTAATTCATCCCATGGCAAAGAAAAGCAACAAAACCATAATTGCTCATTCAAAACCACCAATTTAAATAAATAAATTAAATAATAAATTAAATAAATGAATAAAGGGAACCCCACTTCTTAAATCAAAACCCCAATTGAACCCATTGAAAAGAAGGGCGATCATGATATATTTATCAATTCCAACTCTCACCCACTTTTTTCAAGTCTGTCTTCAAACAAATTAAAAAAAAAAAGAAAAAAGAAAAAGAGTAATCCATGCAACAACTCTGAAAAACAATTTAACACGCCAGAGACCAAACCAAACCAAACAAAATTATAAAAAAAATTGGTACTTACCCAAAGGTGGCTTTCTGTTATTGGACGAGGATCGCCAATGACCCTCACCTTGTTTTTTTCTCCAATTAGCCATGCCCAGATGAAAAAGAGAAAGAACCAGAAGAAGAAATTTGAAAACTTTGCTTGCAAGAAGTGCAGAGCCACAAAAGAAGAAATTTTTTTTCCAAATTTTGGCACAATAAGGATTTCAGGAATTCCCTCAACAGAAAGAGAGAGACAGGTGTATATTATTGTATAGGGACACAAAGATACAAACAAAAAAACGATGGTGTGAAAAAGTAAGAAGAAGAAGAAGAGAATGAAATTAAGGAGTTTAAAGAAGGAGCATGATGATGATCATGTCCTCCATGGACTCCAGAGACAGAGGAAGAACTCCGAGGTTTCTTGAATTCTTCTAACTCTTTCTAAAGCGGTTGCTTCCGAGAGAAACCTATCACGTTCGTTTCAGTATTTATAGCACTTGCTTTCCTTTTTTTTCTCTCTTTTTTAATTCACTTTTTTTATAATTTACTGTACGAGATTATATTATTAAATAATATATTCACATGATATGAGTGTCTTCGTTTCTAACACCACTACACTTAATTTTATTAAATATAACTTTAAAATTAAATATTTTTTATTTTTTTTAAATAAAGTTATATCAATTTAAAATGTCAAACGCTTAACCCATAAAAATTAACTTTTTTTTTGTTTTTCTTTTAAAATCCTTTATCCAACGTTTTGTTTTTCTCTTTCAATAATTAAGAAGATTGGTAAAATAAACTTAATTAGAAATGAGATAAATTTTTAATATTTCTTAGTACGCATTCTTTCTATTAAAAATAAAAATATAATGTATCTAAGTATTTTATTTTTAATGTCATATAAACTTAAGTGTTTCTAAATTTAATGAAGAAAAATAAGTACTAGATGATATTAAAATTTTACTCTCCAGAAATGGTGTGTTAGAAAATCTCATTTTGCTGACTTTAAGTGGAAAAAACAAATAATTTAATGTGATTAAATTTCAATCAAATTAATAAAATTAGCATATACTTCCTTTTTCATATTAATTGTTACTTGTTGCAATAAAAAAATCATTTCAGTATTTTTTTTACACTATTGTGAAATTTACGTATTAAATTCATAGGAGGAAAAGCTATTTCTCCTAAAATATCATATATATTTTTTGGGAAAAATATTTCTTTTGCTCCATTGAAGATAAAATTAACTCTAATAAACTCAAAACGACGTCGCTTTGAAGATACAAGATTAAAAAATTATAATGATAAAGATTAATATAATCTTGCAATATATTAAAATTTCAAAAACACCTTGATTTTCGTCCTAAAATAACGTAATTTTGGACTCACCGAAAATAATTTATCTCCGTTGACAAAGAAAAATTCTTTACCCATAATTTTTTTTTCAAATTCCAAAACAATATCATTTTAGAATTTTATTATTTGAATACATAACTTTATCTTGACAAACGCTAACTTCTTTATGAAAATACATTCTCATGTTTTCTTTTAACATAAGCACTTCATATAAAAAATATTAATTATTAATTAGCTGCATAAAATTTTAATTGATCTAAATAATCAATTTATAATTATTTATTACTGTGCTCATGAAATGAAAAAAAAATGAAGTTGCTAACCAGATGCCAATCATTGATTTGTCATCGAAAATTATAAACAACGATATTTTCTCCTCATCCTAAGAGGAACGAACTAATTGAGCAAATTAAATAATATTATTCATTAACTTACAATAAAGACATTAAAAAAGTTACTGTATTTTATTTGATTAAAGCAATATAATAGCAACTATATATAATAAAGAATATCCACAAGAGAACCGAAGATTCCTCCATCAAGACCAGTGAGATAGCTAAAGAATAAGTTGATGAAATCCTTTCCTTTATTTAGGTCCACAAATTTTACTGTTATATTGTTCTTGTTCTTTTCTAATTCTGAAAAAACTAATATATTTTATTTTTTATTTTTTTTGGAAATAATATATTTTATTTTTAAGTTATATCCAATAAGAAAAGTTTCTTATTCTCTCTCTTTTTATTCGATGCCTAATTAATTTACTTTATTATCTTATTTCTATCTTCCATATTAGTAAATTATACCTAATAAAAGTATAAAATCTTCATAATCAATTTCCCCTCATTTATGTCTTTATCTTCTCATTTAATTCAAATATTATCTGCTAATTTGTATATAAATTAATTAAGGAATCTTAATTAAATAAAATCCCAAAAATTTCTCAAGTGATCGGTTTTTTTGTGATGAAATCAAATCTTTTAAAATGTCATATTTAATCACTTATTTTTCTTTATATACTTCATTTTATTATTTTTTTCAACACCACTCTCTCTCATGATTCTGAAGAGATGCACATGATATATAACGACACGCTTTTATTGTCCCACACGCTTTTCAATTTTTTATTTTATTTTTTTTTGGGTGAAAAGCCTTTCCATCTTTAATATAGCTGATGCCGAACCACCAAGAAAACGTGGCAATTGAAGATAGGAATAATACGCATCGTTGACTGTAAAAAGAACCCTCATTTATGGAAATCAATCATGAATTTTGTGTGAATTGAATATCAGGCATTTTATTTTTATTTTCGGAATTATGAATCGATTATGATCATGGTAATTAAAATCAGAATTTTACTTAAAATTAGAAGGAGGATAAAAAATCGTAAATCGTAAAATCTTAACGTAACAAAAATCGTAAAATCGTAAAAGCGTTTGGAATTTTGATGAAATCGTTTTGATTGAAAAAAATTGTAAAATCGTAAAATCCAGATTTAAATCAGGATTTTAACTATTATGATTATGATGTTGATTTAGGGTGTTAACGGAGGGAGTCGAGCCGAGTCTTGATTTTAAAAGGTTAAGTCTTTGTTTAAATGTGTCAGTCTGATTAAGTCTGTTATATGTTATGAATATAATTATCGGCTTGTGGCCTGACTTATTTATAAAAATTAAAAGCTTGATTTAGCTTGTTTAAAAAAAATAAAACAACAAAAATTTATCCAAACAAAATATACAATCAACAGCACTAGTAATTCTATAAATATTCATAAATTCAATGTATATCCAAACAATATAATATAGAACAAAATCGTTCAAAAAGTCTGTTTAATCAATAAAATGGAGTGAAATGAATTGAGGAGAGAGAGAGGGAGCAATTACAAGTAGTATAAAAAATATAAAAAAATTAATATACTAGGTCAGTCTGAGAGGCTCTGAGGTCAGACTTTTGAATTGAAGTCTGAGACATTTTTTATTAAACAAGCTTTTATACATGTCCAAGTCTGGTTCAACAACTAATTTTAAACATGTAAGTTCAGGCCTTCACGAGCTAAGCGAAAGGCCCCTGGTTTGTTTATCATCCCGAATGTTGATATATTTTTTATTAATTATGAAGTGTGGTATTTATTCATATGAAAATTTAAATATTTCCAAAAAAAATAAATTAAAAAAATGATTTTTTGTTATTGATTTTCTATAACTTTTTTACTGTTTTTTAATTAATTATCATAAGATTGTTTTATATCTTTAATTAAATTTGCTCTTTCTTTTTTTTTTTCTTAAAGAAGGGTGGTTCACAAGTTATAAATAATTTATCCGTTTAATATAACATGAATAAAAATTTTATGATGATTCAATATTTAACTTGGGTGCAAGGAGAACTTGAGGAGAATAAACTCAAAATAGTTAAAATTGAAATCTTAACGGAAATTGAAAGGAAAAGAAAAAAATTGTAAACCGTGAAATTATAACACGGATAATAAGATCTCACTTGAAATACAAAATTACATTTACAAATAAATATAAAATGTTATTTTTATGAATTAATAGACAAAAAATTTATTAGTGATTTAAACATAGAAAGATGGCTGCTTCAATGTGCAATAAAAAAATTAAGAAAATAAATTACTTTTTCTAAACATATTATTCATTAATTATATCCAAAATCTCAAACATAAATGATTATATGTGGTGGCAGAACATAAATGATTATATATCGGAGTAATTGCTTTCACATTGTATAAATGGGTATTGGTAGCAGAATGTGCAAAACATATTATTATATTATATGTACCTTAAAAGAACCTGGAAGAATTGTGTAGAAGAATATATTCAACATATTACTATAAAAATAGGGCAAAGTTAGCGTTATGTAGCAGGGAAAAAACAAAATTTGCCTGCTGAAACAGAACAACCACGCGACCCACATTTTTGTAAAAAATTAAAAGATAAAATAGAAAGCACGGAAATCGATTTTTCAGCTGGACAAATTTTTGTTTTGCTGTTACATAACGCTAGCTTTTCTCATAAAAATATGGGAAAATATTTTATCTTTTTAAAAGAGAAATTTTTTCTCATGTCAGTGACTCATAGTATAAGTGAGGCTTACAAAATAGTAAAGAGGAAAAAAAATTCAAGGTGAGATCCACTTATTCTACGAGTCACTGATATGAGAAAAATTCTCTTCTTTAAAAGGAAAAAATATTTTCCCTAAAAACATAATTATTCAAGATGTTATCTATCATAATATAATATACCATTATACTATTCGAACATATACATCCATGACAAAAAAACACAGCAAGGAGCAAACCCAAATTGCTCTGTTTATTATAAACCAAATTACTCTGTTTATTATAAACTATCTTCTTGTTTAATTATACAGAAAATAGAGCTTCATTTTAAATTACCTTTTTTAAGTCTATTTTATATCTTGGGAAAATAAAATAGAAAATGCTTGGTGCATTATATTACCACTTAATTACAAGTAGCAGAATCAGAATTAGATTATAGATACATTTAGAATTTTGATAGAATTAATCATAATGAAAGGGTAAAAATATAAAATAATATATATATATATATATATATATATATATATATATATATATATAACATTGAATAATAAAAATAAGAGATGCATCGAGAGTGTACTTTCTAAGGACGAAGGTGTTCTCTAGTTGTTTCTTCTTTTCGTTTTTTTGGTGAGTTTCTTCTGTCTCTTTTTTGTCTTTTTTCAACTTACCCAAAAAAAAATAAAAAATCTCATCACATAATTACAGCCCCTGGTAAAAATTAAGCCTATTGGTATTTTAAACCTGTTTAATTTAGTCTATTTCAATATTTCATTCAAATTTATTGACTGGTAACCCATCAATTTGAATGAAAATACGAAAGATGAACAATATATTTCTTAGAATAACAAAATTTGTAGACTACGTTTTGCTTTCTGAAGGTTAGCGTTATTTGAACAATCACACTTGATTTCTCATTTTTTTTTTTAGATTACAGGAAATAGAACACACAACCACACACTCACACATATCCTATTACACACACCCACACCAGTAGGCTAGCCCCAGTGGATTTCACACTTGATTTCTCTTCCACAATGAAAGAATGATAAATTTTTAAAGTATGATATGGAAATTAAGGACACACTGCAAAATATTTAAAGCCAAATAAATGCAATTAATTTATTAAACCAGAAAAGTGATTGCATATCTACTTTACGCTAAATATTTACCCTTATTTATGAATCATGAAGAAAAATTTCAGTGATAGCTATTGATGACATTTTAAAAAATAGCAAGAATAGATTTATGAATGAGGTTGGTGATTGATTGCATTTGTTGTTTGTTTTGTTATGTCGACTTGTATCTGGTGGAGACTATTAAATTACCGACTCAAACCACAACGAATGAAGGAATTGACGACAAACAATAGATTTTTATGCACGTCGTACTTTGGGATCAATATAGACATGGATTCCGTTTCCCGTTTCCTGTTCAACGACAATGGAAAGTGGAAACGTAATCATAGTATACGTCTATAAAATGTTTTTTTTTTTTTTTTAGGGAAGTATAAGATGTTTTTACTCCTTTTGTTCTTCGCTCTCTTCATCACCGTATGATCATTCCATCAGCATCATCATCAGATGCATACAAGAATGTCACTAGATGCACATAAAAACACATTTAATCAAATGATAGTAACTCAGTTAGCATATGAGAGTTGAATAGGTAAGGGTGAAAGCATGTGTTCAATATTTCTCAGTATCTTATTTGAAAGGGATTTAAAATCTTAATCTTAAACTGATTCAAACAGGATTGCCTCTAGTGGAGGATACCCGTAGTTTATCCCAAATAAAAAAAACACATTTAAATTATTTGAATTACATCGAGAAAAAATTGATCACTAATTTTAATTTTTGAGATCTCTGTGATTACAAGAAATTATTGAATGAAATTGTAGCTAAAGTTAGGTGTATTAGAATGGGTGTGAAACTTTTCGAAAAGAAAGAAAGAATGGGCGTTTGAAAAGTCAAATATATTAGTTTTTTCTATTAATTGATAAATATTTATAACTAATCAAAGCTTAATTAATATAATTGATGTAAAGAACCTTGGGATACACCACCCCAAAAGCTAGTTCAAAGAGTAAAAGTGTTCAAGACCTTATAAACTCCACATTAGTTGTCCATATAACTAATGTAGACTATATATCTCAATACGCCCCCTCACGCAAGAGCCCTTTGGGCTTGAACTCAACAATTGATAATATGTTAAGAAATTACTAATTTTATGACACCCAACTTAAGTAAATTATATAAATATATTATAAATCATAAGAAAAAGTTAAATGTTTCTTAAAAATATTAAGTCAGATTTGTTTTTATTTACATGCTAATATTTGATTTTAATTAATAATAGAATTAACACTTACTTGGATATTTACTATTTTTTTAATTTAAGAAATTAAATACATAAGTAAGTAATAAACTCATTAAAAATAAAGAGTTAAATTGTCGATATATAGTAGACCAAAAAAAAGTTGTCGATATATCCACAATTTTACATGACAAAATAGAACAAAATTGTAATAATATTCTAGAGTTAAATCTACCGTACAATTATTTATTTTTTCAAGACTGCACTTTTTTTCAAAACCTTTTGACTAATTTAATGAAGCCACTCGTAAGTCGTACCTGACTTGAAGGTGCATATTCTTGTGTCCGTCTTGCGGAAATAGTTAATATGTTACACGACCATCTAATAATTTAGTGTTTTTATTATAAAATAAAATAAAATAATAATTTAGTGTTTTTTCTCACGATACTAATTTTTTCTTTCTTATTTTATTTCTGTTATTTTTTTTTTTCAATTTTATCCTTCTATTTACACTAAAGGACCACCTAAAAAGTGATGGTACCGGATAAGAGTAAATTCTCTCCCCTCTTGCAGAGACTTGCAGTATACCATGTGGCGTATGATGATATGTCTTTTGAGTAAATTTGTAACTATCCTCTATGAGATTTGAACATGCATGACATCTTATGCGTCTTACACTGTTTTGATAAAATATTTTGGATTTATATATATATATATATATCTATATTTTATATAAATAAGAATTAAATACACAACCTAATATATTTTTGACTCAGTGAAAAGTTTTCTGTGAATCAAATAGCTATTTTTGAACTTGCATGTTAAAAAGACATGTGGACTAACCGAATCCAGTCCTATACTTAAACTTCATTTATGTTATTATTGTGATATTGAAGTTAGGTGGAGTTCCACGTTAGTCAATTAATACCTAACTGAATTTTATATAATTGGAATGACTCGTGAATTTAATATTTTAATTTTTTGGGTCAAGACAAGATGTTAGTTCCATTATCATGATAAGTCTAACTTAGGCCATTAATATTGGTCCCTAGTCACCCATATGATAGTCATGATCATTTTAGATTTTCTTCCTCTGGTATTTTTTTTTTTTTTTTTGATAACATAAAAAAATACACTAGAGGGAAAAAATCTAAAATGAGTTACGATGTACTTGTGTACAGAATCTTGTCTCTCTCGGAGAATATTTTCCAAAAGGAAAAAGATTTTTGAAAGCTTTTTCCTGGACCCAAAAGAGAGTACTTGAGTTCTCCCAATAGCTAAAAAGTGTATTATGCCTGAATCTAACTAGGATTCACAACGATGGATGAACTAGATCCAAAAAAAGAGTTTCTAGTTGTAAGTATGTGGGTGTGTAGTTAGAATAAGAATGAAAGTGATGAAAGTTTAATGCAAAGGCGAAACTAGTGTGTTGTTTGTAGGATTGTAAATGAGTCAGATAACTTGTCAGGGCCCTACAGTTTGACTTGCCTTTAACCTATTTTAAAAAAAATATAGACTTGAACTTATTAAAATGTTTGTTTAGAAATCAGGCCACAAGCTTATTTTAGCAAGGTTGGTCTTTAAACCTTTAGATCCGGCTTGTATTTTTTAATAAACAATATTTTAATTTTTAATAAAATAACACTATTTTTTTAATAAAATAACACTATTTTTTTAATAAAATAATATCATGTTATTTTTAAACTAAAAAATATCTTGTTATTTTTCAATAAAATAATATCTTGTTATTTTTTAATAAAATAATAGAGATAGTATATTCAACATCAACATCAACAACACCTTTATCCCAAAATAATTGGGGTCGGTGGAATAGAGATAGTATATTATTTATAAAAAATAATAGAGATAGTAAGTAAGATAGATATAAAAAAAAAAGAATAGGGTTATATTGGCAAACTTTTTTTTTTCAAACTATATTTTGTATGACCGGGAATACACTACTCAAGAGTGTATTACCGGTCAAACATAGTATAATTTGTAAACAAAAAATTTATAAATATAACTTTAAAAAAAAAAAGTAAAATATGCTATCCCGTTAATATAATCTCATACAACAGCTTAAACTTTTGAATTAATTTGATTATTTATTTGATATCAGAGCCATTAAAAAAAACCACTTCCCATTAAACCTCGACTAACGAGGGTGAAGCGAAGACAATCCTTATAAGCAGCCTTATTCTTACATAATTATAAAAAAGCTATTTTTCGGATTTGAACCTATAACTTTTCAGTCACAAAAACTTTACTATTGCACCGGTTCACCCTCAATATAACTAAGCGGTCATTATTTTTTATGCTTACTCTCGGATTCTATTAATAAAAATAATTAAATATTCTAAAAAAATTATCACAAATAAGATGGACTTGATGCATCGTCAACTCTTTAAGTCAATTGAACTTTCATGTGATAGCACATGCTTTTGGATTTTGGATTGATTTGGTTGTTTACGTTATGCTCAATAATGTACATTGCAGTTCCACAATTGGCACGTTTCTTTAACAAATGTTACAACAACCGTTTCCTAATATACAAGAAGGTTTCAAATGGTTAGCAAGAGCAATCAAATTTCTCTGTTTTGAGAGTGTGATTTTGCAGTACTCCATACCTAGATCTATAGGCCTCACATTAAACCAGCCCTTTTGTTAATCTACAGAATAGTTTATGCCCCCTGAAGGCAATACTGATGATGCCTTGGGAACGTGTTTGCAAAACTCAATCACATAAAATCTGCCAAACTTACCATGGAAAGAGATTTGGCCTAGTAAATCGATGCTGGTCAAGTTTAAGGGAAGTCCTATATTTAAAGGTCTACCTGATTATTAAAAATAAAGCCTTCTCAAGTCCATGACCAACTTGTCACAAACCCCATCATTTTTGGACAAAAACATTTCAGCTGCTTCTCTACTATTAAAAGTCTCCCCTTCAATAAAGTAGCTCCCCTCATCTTTCACAATGATTCCATGCTCACAGGCCAAATCTAAGACCTCTGATTCATGGCAAAAGCCTCTTCCAAACTTGATACCCAATTCTGCCTTCTTCTTTGCTGCTGGTGCTAGTTTATTTTTTATGACTTGCACGCACACCAGTAGACCCTCTACCTGAAGCACCAGATGTCACACGGGAAAAGAAAAGAATTAGAAGAAGAAAAAAATGTGTTTGGGAAAGGGGGAAACTGTGTAACTTTCCACATTTTACTAAACAGCATTAAAATACAAAAGTAATACAATAAAGGTGGCAGGGTTGAGAAGTCTTCTTCAGTAGAATAATTTGGTCTTTCCGGTTAGTCATATTCCTAAGAGTACACTTATAAAGTACTTAAAGACTCACCTTATCCTCAGTTTTCATCAATCCCATTCTTGAAAGTCTCAAACGAACAGCTGCATAGAATCTCAAGGTGTTTCCACCACAAGTGACCTCTTCCATTGATCCACATCCCTTAACTGATTTTGGACTACATCTAACCTGTATAAGAAAGACATATTGAATTGATAAATCTAATGGTTCATTGGTATATTTTACAAATCAACATTCAAGCAATGAGATGCACAAATTGTTTAACTAATATGGCTTGGCTTTGACCTGATTAACAAAAATGATAAGAGTTTGGGAGCGAGATAATGAATAATGAATTTTCCGCAGTGCTTGAGTCATCATTCTAGATTGTAAATCTTGTTTGGTGCCAACTCCTAATTGATCAAGTTCGCATTTGGGGACAAGGGCAGCAACCTGGAAGGACAAAATCATCTTACATTCATATGAGAGTAAAACCAAAGGTTAAATGTATTATAATATCTAGAAAACATCTCACAATATCATTATTTAATCCGAAAACATTTTAGAGTATCTTAGATTTAGGAGTGGTTTCCCTATTTCACTAGATTTCATGATATGTTTCTTTATTTAATTATGATTAGGAGTCTAGTATTAGTATAAATAGAGGTCAGTGGTTTGTATTTAGGATAACATCAATCAATATCAATTTCATATATTCATTAGATTATTCTCTCTTTTCCTTCTTCCCTACCTAAATCCTATAATTTCAGTAAAACGATTGAAAGCAATGAAAGAATAGCTAGAAAGGATAAACAAAGCTAGTCTAAATTCTTAGATGAAGGCTTGATACAGCTGCAGTTGGGTTGGACAGAAGACTTTTATAAGGCTTTTTTCTTGACAGTCAGACACTGCGTTTGGATCTCGTGACAGATTCAATGCAGAAGAAGTTCAACAAAATGTTGGTTTTGCTAAACTAATAAGAATATCTCCTCCATAGGGGGTAACTGATATTTGGAGAGAACCTTCTTCTCCTATTCTAAAATAATGCAGCGCCAAGCTCAACAGAAGTTGAGAAAGAGTCAACATGGCTAAGATTATAAGCAGCATAATCTAAAGTCACTCCACTCTACCAAATGCTCATGTAATATACATATGTGTAAACGACGAAACACAGTAACTTACACTATCAACCACAATCACATCTACAGCTCCACTTTTTGTTAATGTATCAACCATGCTCAATAAATTTTCAGCACAATCAGGATGCGAGACAAGAAGGTTTTCGGTATTTACACCTATGGATTCCACAAGTGAAAGATCCAATGCATTTTCTACGTCAAGATATGCACAATATCCTGCTGACAGAATAAACAAAAGTTATTAAATCGACGGGATACAATACACAAAACAACTCCCGGCCCAAAAGAGATAGGGAAAAATGTGAAGAGTACTGAGCATCTTGCATGTGTCAACTGACAAGTTGATTACAAAATTTGATTCGATTTTTTTTCAAAACTAAAAGTCAAAAGAAATCACTTTCAGAGACAAACAGCTTAATGCATTCCATGCATGTTTACACTTTTGTTATGATGAACAAATTCAACAAAATATACAAGCCGAGATCATCACCAAGAAACTAATCGACTTCTGAATGAAGGAAAGACTTACAACTGCCTCCAATCCATTTTACGTATTTAACAAATCTTTCTTGGATATCCTGCCTCCAAATTATTTGCTTAGTTTGAAATTCAAACAGGCTTCTTAACTTCTTGTTGCCCTAGTTCTTTCTCTATGCTTCACTTTTGACAAACCATGAAATGATATGATGCTGATTATAGCAAAATTATAATTGATATGATAATTTACAAAATAACTTAAGAGCTCATGAGGAAGTTTCTACGCAGTGAGTCAGTGACATAGAGCCCTTAACCTGTACATTTTCCACTTAAAGGAAACTAAACACAGCCGTGCAAAAGAAATTCTTATTACATGGTTGAGGAATTAATAGCACAATCAAGCATTTAATAAGATATTGTCTTTGGTGTTATACTGATACAAACCTTGGGGTCCACATCAGAAATAAAAGATTCTGGTATAGGGTTTATATGGACTTTAGGCTCTGCTACCTTACAAGCTAGCTTTTAGGGAGAGACTTTCCTAAGGTTTGTATCAATTGGTATTAGAGCCTCAACTATGTCTCCCAGTTGCAATCGAGTGACGCGACTAGTGATGCTAGCATTGCAGTGTTCACCCAAGGCTAGTAAAAAACTAGCCCAAGCCAGCCCGTGTGGGCACCGGGGCTACGGAGTGTGGTGGGATGTTACAATCAGATTGTAAGGAATGGGACTTGGAGTTCCACATCAAAAATATAAGATTCTGGTGTGAGATTTATATGGACTTTGGGTTCTCCTACCTTACAAGCTAGCTTTTGGGGTGAGGCTCTCTCAAAATTCGTATCATATACCCAAAGATATATATATATATATATATATATATATATATATAGAGAGAGAGAGAGAGAGAGAGAGAGAGAGTATCATGAACAGTGCAATGGCAGTGGAATTGACTCATGTTGAAACTTAAGATAGCCCAGGGTGGCAGTAGCTGTTTATATACATTTTGATGTATATTTGATCTCTCAAGCATCTACACTGTGCAAAGAAAATAATATTTTCCCATATCGAGCTCCAACAGTTTATTATTATTGCTTGGCTAAGATATGATTATAAGCCTAATCCCTTGTTAATGACATAAGTATTGGTAAGAAACTCAAACTTATCAGATTTCAGAAATCTACACTAATAGAGTTTTTTCATATTATTGAAGTACAAATTGAGAACTTCTTTATTCACATGAAGTGGTTTAAAAATCTGAAATACTGAAAGTCCGATATGTACCTCCAAGCTTTTGAGCTTCTTTAATAATTTGAAGTGCAAGTGTTGTCTTACCAGCTGCTTCTCTTCCATAAATTTCCACAATCCTACCCTAAAATGTTAAAATGTAATACCTATTAAGGAAACTCATGAGTATGGTTTAAAAAGTTCCTAAGTCAAAAGTAAGAATCATCATTTCCAGCCATGTCAGTCAGGTATCCATGTGGAAAAAGTTGACCAACCAAAAATCAGATTAATGATAGTTGACAAAGCACTGAAGTGGCATATTTCTTTTAAATGACCATCTATCATCCCATGGTTAAGATCTCGGGGGAGAGAGTGAAAGAGTATACCAAAAGAAGAGAGAGTCTGCTATTTGGGAGGAAAAAAAAAGTTATTGTTGCATACTAGTGTAAAATTCATGTGGTTTGCTGCAGAATTAAACAGCTGACTAATTCTAACACTGAATAATACTTATAATATCATTGAGAGGCTTGAAGAAAGATTCCTTTTGGTTACAAAAGGTTCAAATTCTGAATCTTAAGGGTAATTAAAAAATAAAGCAATTGAGTCAATATGGCTGGAATAAATTGTAACACTATATCTTAAAAATAAATAAATGAAACTGAAAGGATTAATTTTTGGTTTTTTTATAGAAAAGCTTCAAGTTTATCATAATTAACAATGCAAAGAAAAGCCATTCTAAGCTTCTATCTTTTCATATTAACAGTGTGAAGACATTAATTGGTAAAGGAAACTAGAATGATGAAAAGGAAAGAGAGGCAGGCCACTTCTGTTTGGGCACTCATGACTCCTAGATTCCTTGTATGAATATATCTATACCTAAATTTCAATGTTTTTGTTAGTTGAACTCAACCTAAATTGTTTTCCTGTTAAGTCCATATTGCTAAGAATTGTTTTAAGGCCTCATTTTTACATTGAAATAGACTAGTAAATCCGGAGCATTTGAGGCCATCTAACCATAAGAGAAAAATCAAATATAAGAGCTACACAATTTCAATGGGGTCATTCACCAGCAACTGCAAGCTCATGAAACATATCCCAACCTTTGTGGATGTGCAACATATTTTCTTACACCAAACAATTGTCTAAAGGATTAATCCTATAGTTACCTTCGGTAATCCTCCAATTCCAAGAGCTAGGTCAAGCTTCAAGGAGCCTGTAGATATGACATGAGCACGGCGTACACCGAAAAACTTGTGCAAAGATAACATTGATTCCTTGCTAAACTCACTAGCAAGCTGTGAGACAGCCAAGCAGAGTGCATTATCTTTCTCTGCTGCTCTGACATCATCGCGGGTCTCATCACATTCTAAATCCGAAGCTTCAGCTGAAACTGAAACTAGAAAATGTTTCCAATATCATTAACATATCATTTATGATTATTTTGAAAGTATAAGCACCTAGTATTTTCCAACAGCAAGAAAGATAGATAAAGACTCAGGTAAATTAGGAGACATGAGAACTTGATACCTGCAGAATAAAGAGTGCAAGCATTCATGCCAATCCTGGTCATTATTTCTCTACCTCTATTCTGGGAGAAAAAACGCATAATTTATCATGTGGAAGTGCAAACCTTAGGAACCAACAATTCACCTAATATGCTTGTTCAAAATTGATTCCTCAATAATAATAACAGTAATAATAATAACAATGAAATGATGAAAAAGTGTAGAGTAGAGAGAGACCTGGTGCGAGGGGTAGAGGAGAGAGGAAGAAAGTAAAGGCCTTGCGAAAACATAGAGACGAGTTAAAAATGGCATTTTGATACAAAAGAGAGACTTTTACTATCACAGTCAGAGGAGGTAGCAGTTCCTCACTTCATACACACCCAAATAGAGATAACAGACAAGCATGGAACAAACAAGGCAAGGGTTTTTGGCACCACCCCATTCACTTCATTTCCAGAGTTGAAGAGAGCTACCCACACCCACTACTACAACCTTAAACCCACAGGGGAACCAGCCCTTACATGTGTGAACACACTAATATTCATGTTCGAATTTTTTCGGTCTGGATTAATGACATAAATATATAATTAAATAATAATAATAATTAATAACTCTCATTTCACTTGTAGATGCTTTAACCTTTTTGGTGGATTTTTTTTTTTTTTTTTAATTTGCGCCTGTCATCTGCTGTTATAAAAATTGACCCAATCCAGCAATTTCATCAGTTGTTGCATAAGTTGGGTTTCTAATCGGTTCGGTTTAGATATTAGATCGGTCATGCATTTGATCCAATATGAAATTGGTAAATTGGTCCTAAACTAGATTCATCCAATATTAAATTGACATTAATTTTTTTGTGAAATTTTTAACAAAATGCTTGAAAAATATTATTAATGAGATTCGACCTAAATCATATAAATTATAACTTATCATAGTTACTTTTAATCCAACCTTTTTTTTTTGTAAACGGTTCTAATTTAATTCTAATTATTAATTAAAATGTTTTTAATTTTATATTTAATTTGTTATATTTTATATATATCTAATTCATACGATTGGTTGATCCGATAATCCATTAATCCATTATCTCTACTGAGTTCATTCGAGTTTTATAACGCTTGTTGTCATCTCTTAATTTCCCTAGAAAATATAATAAATAAAGACATACCTCAACCAATTTGCCCCTCCCCTAGAACTATCCACCATCCTGCCCCCATTTAGTCGATCAAGTTACACTTTTAATCGACTAAATGGGCAAAATTCAGAAATCAAGAAACACGAATTTTAGTCGACTAAATATTCACCTTGATCGACTAAATGTCGAGCACTTTTAGTCGACTAAGGCCATTATTTAGTCGACTAAATATCGCAGAAAACCCTATATCCAGACCTCTCTCGGTCTCATTTGCAATGTTTTCGAAATCAAAACCCTTTTTTCTCTTGTTTGTCAGCTGTGATCCTTCCAATCACCCTTTCATTTTATCCCACCATCTCCAATGCATAGTAATTGTGAAATCATTGTCATTTCCCTTATTTTCTTATTTGTTTCCCCCAAATCCGAACCCGAAACCCTAAAATCCGATTCCTACCCCCAAATTCGTGTGAAAGATGAGCTCAAGTCCAAACATGTATGTTACCATGATTTACTATGATGGAAAGCATTATGAAGGCCCCAACGGTGTTCAATTTGAAGGAAAAACGAAAATGTTGAAAATCAAACGGGACACCACGTACAATGAGTTTAAGGGGAGGATTCACCAAAAATTGGGGCTACAAGGCAGCCAGTGCGTTCAACGGATGATCGCCAGGGTAGAGTCTACAGTTGGTAAGGATGCTATATTCTACATTGGTAATGATATATGTGATGATGAAGATATGGAATGTGTCATAGATGCAATTGTGGACCGAAAATTTCAAAACTTTATTGAGATATATGTTGAAATAAACTGTGGTCAATCTTCATCTGCACCTATGCATGAAAGAAGTCAAAGTCAAGAAGACAGAGTGGTCGATTTATCTGCTCCTGCACCTGTCTTAAGTCAGATAACACTGAGGGAAATAGACGATGATGAGGATGAGCATGAGGAGGATATGGACAGTGAAGACGATGGTGAACCCGAGAGTGTTATTCCGCTGGGTGACAGCTCATATACGGACGTAGAGGGGAATTTTGACCCTGACACTAGTTCAGGAAACTTGAGTTCCCAGGTGACGCCACCACTCCGTGTTGACCCTGTTAGCAGTGGTAAGATAGTAAATTAAAATTTTTAAATGAATATTTCCTATTTGTGTTATCAATCTACTGACGGAAAACTCCTGGAATTTGGACGTAGGTTCCGATATTGAGCCGTTTTGGAACGAAAGTCCACATTATTCCTTCATTAATTAGGCTCACCCTAATGATGAGACGGAGATATTGTATGGCGATGATGACTTCCACGGTGGCTGGCATTTAGGGGATCCATTATATTTCTAATCGGATGATTTCCTCGAATTTTTTTTGTATGGAACCGATTGTAGTCTAATGTACAAGCGTATTATGACTTGGGGAACACAGGTTCAGGTACAAAACAGTCAACGGGGGGTTATAAACCATATATGTACATGTATTGCATAAAACTTTGGTTTAGGGTACCCGAAACTTGTGTTCGTCATTTAACTCTCTTATGAGTGACTGTTCTGAATTGCATTGGACATTTTAGACCCTTTGGACTGTGATTAGACCCAAATTGAAAACAAGAATGAAAAAATACCATATTCCTTCTTGCGGTAAACAATAAAAATGACATAAATAAGTAAACGGTTCACAACATGATCGGAACATTAAATAGTTTAGCTCCTAAACGTAAAAATACATAAACTACAAATGTCAAATAAGAAGACCGAAGTCAATTACATATCAACACAGACACTACAAACGTAAAGTAAAAAACATAAACCCTAAATCTAATCCTCCTCCTCCTCCTCGGACGCCGTCTCCTCGTCATCCTGGTCGGACACATCAGCCCCCTGCCCTGCAACACCCTCAACCTGCTGCTGTCCTCGTCCAAGCTCTAGACGAGCAAGCCTATCTTCAACACCCTTGAACCGTCCCTGTATATGTCTAAACCTTTCATTCCCTTTCTGGATGTGACTCTTCCTCCATTTTTTGTGTTTCAGCGCCATTTTTCCTATTTTCTTCAGCGTGGCGTTTATGCCCTTCATGACATCACGCAATGAAAACCCACCCTCAGGCTCAGCTATCACCTGCTGGTCACCCTCATCATCATCGTCAGCATCATCCTCCACCTCGGGCTCAACCATGTCTGCAAGTGGAGCAACATCAGGAACCTCAACATCAGCCGCGCCAGTGAACTGCCACACTCATGTTTGTATGTTCTTTGTCATCTTGCACTGCTCCAGTAGACGCTTCCCAAACTTATGATTATACCATGTGGTCTTCTTCAAGGTCACATTGCCCATGGGAACACCAAAGTGCTCCAATATCCTCTGAACAAGACAAGCAAATGGAAGTGCACCCTTGTGTTTGGCCTTATACATCATCCAACAGATGTAGTGCCTCCAGTTCACCAAAGTACCATGTCGGATAGCCCACATGATGGGAATGTCATGTTCCAACACCCTGGAATGGTTGAACGCTCGCGGAAACAGAATGTGGGTGATGACATAGTGTAGTATACGGGACTCCACAGTAAGCAACCCCACCGTATAGGCAATATGTTGCCCACGGACTCTTCTCTGCTCCTGCACGGCATCACCTCGTGTATATCTGGAAGTGTGGAGCCGCTATCTGCGTCATATTCCACAGTGTCCGCAGAATCAAAGTCATACCCGACCTCAGCTCACCCTGTACGTAGCTGAGGTTATGGTAGAAGGCCCGTACATGCAGCTCTGAATATGAACACGACAGCTCAGCCAAAACCCTAAGATGTGCTCCTTCCAACCAGCTCACAATGTTAAAACCTTCTGCTTCAAAAAATGCTGTATCAAGTGATTTGGCCCCACATATGGGTCGGTTAGCAAAGTCACGGACAAATGAATCATGAACCACGGGGTCATGCTCGAACAAGTATCCGAATGGGAGGTCGACAGGAGCGGGCTCTTCATCTTGTTGCCTTGACGAAGACGGACGGTCTTGTCGTACCTTCTTACGTCTCTCATTTCCCACGTTATCCCATCTTCTACGCTCAGCCATGGGAACAACGGTACCTACAATGCAAGTGGAAACAATATCAATGGACAATAACAATATCAAAAAAAATTAAAATTCAACATAAAAAACTAAACCCTAACCCTAAAATAAAACATAAAACAAACCCTAAACCCAATCAAAAACAGCAACCCAAACCCAAACCCTCAACCCTACACCCCAACCAAAACAGCAGCCCTAACCCTAACCCTAACCCATCACAGGAAAACCAATCATATACCCTAACATAAAAACAGAAACCCTTAACCTACACCCCAACCAAAACAGCAGCCTTTCCCCTAACCCTAACCCTAAGCTACCACATCAACCCTAGTCAATTACCCACACATCAAACTCAACACACTACCCCTAACCTAAAGCCACAAAACCGCAAACAACCTTCTACCATAAAAAGGAAATTTAAAATAACAGAAACCAAAGCATGGAGAAAACAAAAAAAAAAACCTAAACCTAAAACCAAATGCAAGTCAGAAAACGTTACCTACAATGTCAATTTCGCAAGTTGTGAACCAATGATGCTTCAATCGGACCTTCAAGGGATGAGATTCGAACTTGGTTGAGGAGAGGGGTTCTTGGCGTGGCCTTAGTCGACTAGGGTTTGAAAATAACCCCCATTGCAAAATTGGGGGGTTTTAAAAGACCTAGTCCGCGATATTTAGTCGACTAAATAATGGCCTTAGTCGACTAAAAGTGCTCGACATTTAGTCGATCAAGGTGAATATTTAGTCGACTAAAATTCGTGTTTCTTGATTTCTGAATTTTGCTCATTTAGTCGATTAAAAGTGCAACTTGATCGACTAAATGGGGGCAGGATGGTGGATAGTTCTGGGGGAAGGGCAAATTGGTTGTTAATTAATTAATGAGGGGCAAAAGGGTCAAAAAACCTCAACAATCAACTTATCCTAAACGTATTCTCTTGTTTAGTTGTATAGTTTACGGTATTGAATTTCACCAACATGTTACATAAATGTTATGATGGATGTTTGGCCCAACTGGTTTTTTTTTTTCATCCAATAAATATTGAGTTTAATGTTTTTCATATTATAGAAAATAAATTTATCTTTTATATATACATAAAAATATGTATGTCTCGTTTTTTTTCTCTTTTTTCTCACAAGGATTTACATGGATATCACACTTTTTATATATATGTAAAAGATAAAATCAATTCAATTGGGATATTGAGTCAATGGATCATCGATTCTCCTAGTGAATCGCTAATTCAATTGTATAAATTAAATATATATAAAAAATATGATAAATATAAAATTATAAAAATATTTTAGCTAATAATTAGAGTTGGTGCACTAATAAGTACTATTAAAAGTTATAATTTACAGACTAATTTTTTTTTTATCCTCAGCAAATTTCACGATACCTGCTTTAGTCCCTAACAAATAAAAAGACTATTCGTGACTCATTTAGTTGAAATCGTGATAGTTGATAAATTTAAAAAAGACCTAGATTATTTCCTCAAAGGGACTAAAATGGATTCACTTTAAATTTCTTAGAGACCACGAATAGCTTTTTTATTTGTTAGGGACAAAAGTGGACATCATAAGATTTGCTGAGGACCGCAAAAGACATTTACTCTAATTTATATGGTCTCGAATCATTTTTTAAATATTTTATCTAAAATTTCACAAAATTGATTTTTTTTTAAAAGATAGTGCGGGTTCGGGACGGGTTCACGAGTTTAAATGCATAAGAAAATTAATTTTATAAAATTAGTAGTGTTCTAACAAGAAAGAAATGAAAATTAATAAAAAAAAAATGAGACTTGTGATTGGTCAATTTCATAAGTTTTTATAGTTTTAATTTGGGAACAGACCGGTTGGTGGTTGTTTCGAACCGTTGACCGGTCCACCCCGTCCTGTCACTCTCCAAAAGGAAAAGAAACATTGAATCTGTGAATCAGAGTGTTAATTTCCGGAGCGATCAGACATGGCTGGAGCTGCGGCGGCGATCTCTCAGCTGCGGTGCTACTCCGCCGTTCATCGCAGCCTACACCTCCATAGGCGCTCGCTTCCATGCCCTTCCCTTCGCTTCTCCAACTCCAAGGTCAACCACACATCTTCGCTTCTCAATTAACCTTTTTTTTTTTTTTTCCCTTCAAATCATTTTGCATTATGGTTGAAAGCGAGAATTATATGCATCTAACACGCGCGCGTCTTCAAGTTAGATAGATCTAAAGCAACGCTTTCTAAATCATATCTTTAAGGCTCATTAACTTTTGCTAATAAGCTTTAAGGACCTCTTTGAAAATTTAGATAAACTCTAAGGATCTGTTTGATAGAAAGCACAATTATATATGTTCTTATACTTTATTTGAGTTTTCAATTTCAATTAGGTTCTATAGTTTAGTATAAGTTAATGGTCATTAGCGAATAGGGATGTTAGGGATGATACTCAAAGTGTTGGGCAAGAAATTGGAGAGTGTATACTAAAGAGAATTGAGGGAAGGTCTTAGGTTAGTTAGGGAAGTTAGAAAGACAGTTAGTTAGTTAGGATGGGAATTAGGTATGTTAGGGGGATAAATAGTAGAAATGGTATAGGAGATATAGGCATTGGGGAATTTATATGTGATAACTGAGCAAAAGCTCTGTTGAGAAAAGAGACAACTCTTTGTGATGGGGAAACCCTTGGGAGAAGAATTCTCTCCTTTTCTCCATTTGTATTTAGCATATCAACATGTTTCTATGCATTTAGTTGAAATCATATTATCATGAACTAACTCTCCCAAAAGTTGTAGGCACTTGAATGGTTTTATATTATATTTCTAACACGTCCCCTTATGCAAGAGTTATTTGGGCTTGAGACGTAGACAATACACAGGTCCACCTACTTTGTGTTGAAATTCATTTTTTTATTAGAAGAATGGGGGTGGTAAAGATCATCAGACTTCTAGTACCATGTCATGAACCAACTCTCCCAAAAGATTAAGTTGTTAGGTGAAAACACATGAATGGTTTTATATTATATTTCTAACTCACATTAAATCTATATGCTTGCATATGTCACTCCTTTGAGATTGCAAGGGGTAGTGCTAGACACTCATATGAACAGGCTTGCATATGTAAGTTTGCTAGAGCAATTATTTGATATTGATACTAAACAGGAAGCATATCTCATATAGTTATCAGTTGTTATGAGTCTGGAGAGGCATGGCACAGGAACTTCTGGTTCTGAAACCAAAAATACACTAAGTTATGCAGCTGATGCATCAAAATTGCATGTCGAAGAAAAGCAGAAGTCATATTTAACAAAAGAAGATCATGATGCTGAAAAAATAGGGTCTGGAGAGTCAATTCAGGAAGGTGGCAGCCAACAGAAAAGGACTGCAAAAATTCATGATTTTTGTTTAGGCATTCCCTTTGGTAAGTGTTCCTTGCTTGATAATTTGCATGTTAGGTGACTTTAATGTTAAGTCATAATGTGTTTTGCTTCGGTATTAGGTGGATAAAAGTTTAGCTTAATTTCACTCTTAGTCCCTCTAGTTGTCAATCTAGAAAAATAAAATTGGGACATCATTGGCAAGTTGGACATGGCATACGCACGTGACATTTTTTATTCCCTGTAAATTCTGGCTATTGTTTGTTTTCCTTTTTTAGGGAGAGGATCTTCAATATGATATTCAAGTTGATGGAAGATGTAAAAAAATTATATTTTATTTTTTTTGGTTAGAGCAAGGTAGTTGAAATCAAATCTAAGTGAAAGGGAAAAGAAAATAATAATACTTTCTGTTCAAAGGGTGTTGTAAATTAAGTGAAAGATCTTTGAATCATACAGTAAATTGATATACCTCAAAAAGGCTTTATGAAGGCAAGTGTTATATAGATTATGGCTTATTAACCTTTCTACATCTATCTGGTAGTTTAGAATGGAACGTTGTGCAACATCAATGATATGAAAATGTGGTACATTATTTCTGTACCAAAAAAGAAAATGCATGCCCTACTACTATTAGGCTATCACCTTTCTTTAAAGATGTGATATGTTATCCTTGTATTTTTTTGTAGGTGGATTTGTTTTAACTGGAGGGATTATTGGATTCCTTTTTTCACGGAGTCCTGCAACACTGAGCAGTGGTGTGCTCTTTGGTGGGGCTTTACTATTCCTCAGCACCCTTAGCTTGAAGGTCTGGAGGCAAGGAAAATCGAGTTTACCATTTATTCTAGGACAAGCAGGTATATGATTTCATCAGCATTAAGACATCATTGGTCTTGGATTTAAAAAGAAAGAAACTTAAAATGCTGCAGCATGATGTTATTTGTGTAAGCATTATTTAATCTCTTGATTTTTTTCCTTATTTTGCAGCATTGTCAGGGATCCTTATCTGGAAGAACTTTCAGAGCTATTCATTGGTAGTACATCTATTTTAACGAAGGCTGTCCTTATCTTATGCTTCATTTCATTATTATACTTATTTGCTTTTCTGAATGCAGGCAAAGAAAATATTTCCAACTGGCTTCAGTGCTATTCTTAGGTATTTCAATTTACGGCTTCCAACCTATTAATTATATTTTGGTCTTTGAAATTGCTAATTGTTCTTTTAGCCTTTTGTTTGAAAGATTGTCCTGATTTTGGTCTGACTCCTTTATGCATGTGCGAAATTTTTGTTTGCAGCTCTGCAATGCTCTGCTTTTATTTGTATGTGCTTATCTCTGGAGGAAACCCCCCACCAAAGAAATTGAAGCAATCTGCCAGCAATGAATGATGAGATAATCAAGGTTATGTTAGCAGTTAGCCTATAGAACATGGGAAATATAATTTATTGTTTTTCTGTGAATTGAAGTAAGGTTGTAAGCTAATTTGGCCAAGTCACTTTTGAAAATAGGTCAACAAAGAGGTGCCAGTGTGATTATTGCATTCCCAGGCATTTAGTGGACTATATATCAATAATATGAAATTTGATGGAAAAGCTGATTTGCTTGTTGCAGCTACATAGTTTCGATACTGACTACATGGCACATGCATTTAGATTTCGGGTTGAAATTTGGTGCAAGAACACATGCATTTACATTCCTTTCAAAGTCCCTTCCTGAGGTCCAAATGTAGTTCCGATTATTGAGATAATATTGATTGATCATATCATAGGCATAAGGTCACGCACTTTGTGAATCATGCCACTGGAGAAAATAGCTTATGTTATACTGCTCTGATGAAGTAAATGCGTTCTCCAGTTTGCTGACTGATGTCTTAGTGGTTTGTGACATTCATTGATCGGATTTGTAAGTTGTTAAAGGTTTTGTATTTTTGTGTGTGTGTGTCTATATATATATATATATATATATATATATATAATGGAACTCATCTTTCCCCATAACTATTGTTCCGGATGGCCCACGTCTGGGCGGCCCAGTGACTTAGGCTAAACCCCCTTACCTTTTCCACGTGAGCCCTGCTGACTAGTCATTACCAACCCTCCTTCCTTCCTGTCCCCTGGGCGACTGCACCCCCTAGGTGATACACCAAAATGTCTCATCTCGGGATACCAACCCTGCAGGAGATCGCCCCAGGTACCATAAATAGTAATCCCCTTTCACAGGGGCAGCATCAGATGCTGCCACCTCCGATGCAGGGACTGCACCACTGCTACCGCAGCAGTGTCAGCCACCCCTAGCATTCCCCAGGAGGGTTGACCCCCCTCACCTACCCACTCCAGGAAGATACCTCACCCTCTTATAAATACCCCCTTTAAGACAAGAGAGGGACATCTTATATGTATCGTTACCCTGTTAGTTTACAAGCCTGGAAGTCTCACACACACACACACCCTCCTTCTAATAGCAGTATTCGTACTTGGGACAATGCTGCCTAGCTTGGTCTTTACCTGTGCTAGTGATATGACCCATGCAGTGTGACCTTCATCCCCCAAAAGGAACATATTGGGCTTGTAGATTCCAACGGTACAACTATATACTAGTTTCCAATTAAAATCTATTGTTCTATGATTTGTATTTTGCTATGGGGATTGTTTAAGGGTAGAAGGAAATCAAACATTGCCAAGTCATGGGAGACGATCTTAGTCATCCATTCACAAATTAATGGTTGTAATTTTCTTTTTATCCTAATGCATTTTCTCTCTTTTTCATCATTTTTGATTGGTCTATGGACGGTTAAGATTGTCTCCCATGACTTAATCATGTTAAATGAGACATGAGATCAACTTTAGAGAGGAGAAGCCCCTGAGGTTGATTTTCATTTTTTGAATCACAAGATACACATTAACACTTCCATTAATCAACAATCAGACCAATGAAGATAATTGAGGGAAAAATCCTACTTCCTAAAATAGAGGATCGCATGTTTCACAATAATGTCTTCAATCTATCTACAAATATAGGATTTGGGTACTTAACTTTCGCTAAGTAAATTCCACCTTACTCATACATTTACTTGAGCATCGAAATCCTTATATGTGTATGCGCATACCTTCTCTTGCCCATAGAAAATATAACTGTTCGTGCTGCAGAAATCCCAGTTAGTGATGGAGAGGAATGGTCCCATAAAACATGTTCAAACAAACCATTTGCTACTATACCACAAAAAATACCAAGAGGGCTCATGCAATAATTCTGATCAACCTTCTATGGCGAGTGTGCTCTGAAACTCAATTAGATAGTGCACCGTGCTCTATACTTGAACGGGATACCGTGTGGCCATTTTTGGTCGGGATCAACCACTTTTTTATTTGTCCTAGCTTAACCCAATGTTACAAATATTTTGAAAATTAAGATCTTACAAACAATATGATAATATTTTTATATTAATATAATTTGCTTCAGAAATATATTGTAAACTATGGCGCTGTTTGAATACTGTTTCTAAAAATAATTTTTTGGTTTTCAGAAGAAAAAAAACAAAATAATCCGTTTGATAAGATTTGTGATGCAAATTTTTTTTAAAAATTGTTACTTTTTTTTTTAGAGAATCAAATTTAGAGAACATGTTTGAGTTATTTTTGTTTTGTGTTTTGACTTTTAACTTTTAAAAAAAATACATAAAACACTTGTTTTCATAACTATTCTACAAAATAATTTCAAGAACAAAAAAATCAGAACACGATCAAATAGACTTTATCAAATATCTCTTAGTTTTAGTTTCATACTTTTAAAATTTATATATTTTATTTAAATCTTGAGTTGGCCGGTTGCCGCCGTAATCATTGGTTGAGCCTTAACCAGGCCGGGTTTAGATCCAAAAAATTGGCTCAATCAAAATATCAAGCCGAAATCATACTAAACCTATCAAACTTGGCCATGAGCACCTTAGTGAGGGTAGATAATTTATAAATTTTCATCTTAACTGTTTAAATTTTTAGGATTGATAATTTATAAGCATCATCATCATCAAATATTCAAATGAATATGAACTTCATGTTATAATTGTTCTTTCAGCTCCATATAAGCCCCATAAGTTGGGTTGGCTATCTAAGCCCCATTAAGGATTCAATATTGAAGTATCTCATAGGTGAGCTCATGAGTCTCACCGCAGGGAATTTTCCTTATCCTGCATAGTTCACCATCGTACACACACGATAGTGAGTTAGTGTCTCACTGCAAGGGTGAGGCCTAGACTAATGATTTTGGCTCATGCCCTTTCTCTCTTTTATTGTTAAGGAATATTTTTTACCTATATAAACTCCTCTTCTATCACAGAAGAGACACTTGATATCACACACTTTCGTAATTTTATTCTGCCGAATTTTAGGGTCATCGTAGCCTTACACACACCTCGTTGGCAGCTTCCTCTACGATTGTATTTACAATAACTCCTAAAACTTTGATCCATACCCTTGCCTCCTTGAGCATCCATACATTAAGATACTATACCCCTTGAGGGATATAATCTTAACTCAGTTTCCACAACAGTTCAATAATAATAAATTATAATTCAATTATATGATAATGATTTTGTGAACTTTTCGCAAGTACAACTGCGCTCGGTCTACACATATTACTGCTTGTCACATAAAGGTAAGTAAGTAGTGGAGCTTGGGATGCTTATCATATCACAGTCATGTCACCAAATGAAAGAATGCGCTTCAATTTTTTGCAAAAGCACTTATTTTAGAGTTCTAATGTTTCAAATGCATTCGACATCATTGCGATTTAACTGGAGCTTTTGGATCAACAGCAAAATAATGACGGTAGATGTTCAAAACTAGGGACATATCAATGATAACGATATGGTGGATGTTGTCAATTGTGGGCATAGAAGCATTATCTAATTGGGATCCATATCGAAGTAAAAACGCATTAGAAAGAAACTAAGCCAAAAAAAAAAAAAAAAAAAAACATTGTACTACGGAGAAGTTTTGGATACCATTTATCAGCATCATCTTTCCATTACCAAATTAAACACAACCTTCGATGGTGGTAACATTAATATTGTCCCTTATCAATTTGACGAATGCATTCTAATACTATCATGCTTTGAGATGACACAACTATGGAATATCTCATATTTGTTGTCTCTATAACCATGTTGCGTTGGTATCATGCTATGCCTAACCCATCTTTGGGAATGGTAAAGAAAAAGTTGATGATAGGGATTCCACAATGGGCGTGAACTATCACCTCCTCCATGGAGTGAATATGTTTTTTTTTTTCCCAATGAAGGGTCCATGGACCACATGGTCATTTAGGTTTTAGCCATGTACCCATTATTCTCTGATTGGAGGCTTGACAAGTGGCATATCCTTCTCAAATCTTAAGAGAAGGTCATTTTCCATGGTCTTGTAATGTTATTGTAGTTAGGGGAAAAAATTTAATATTATCACGGTATATCCGTTTATTAAAATGGGTATTTTTTTATTTTAATCCTTTTTTTTTTTTTATTCTCTTCGATATCCTAAAAAAATTTCTCATTTAGTCAAGATATATATACATTTATTGTACCGAAAGTTTGCTCGTAGTTAGGGAGCTCATCTTTAATACATCAGTAGTATATACTACTTTTATTTAAAATCTAACACATGTATTTGAGACTCCATTTTTTTCTGTTACATGTCAGCATTGATATTTGTTGTTTGGTTTTGATTTGAGGGATGTATAAAAAATTGGCATCTATAGTATTGTAGAAAACTGGGTGCATATGTATAAATGCCCTTTCATTTGAATTAGTTCTCTAGTTGAATTTGATTGAAAGCAATTCTTGCTCTTGCAGACTTTTTGAAAGCGGTGTTTCAAAGCAAATGGCGACTAGCTAGGCACTTATCAAGCATTGTTATAAGGTTTTGATGTGGGGGATTCTTGCTTTGGAGACCCTTTAACTAGTCTTGTCATGCTTGGTACAGGGGAATGCGCTTGAACATTGATGGGATATGTATTTCTTTTCCACATAAAGTTGGTTCCATGATTACCTCTCAGTAGATAATTCTGTCCGGTTTGTGGTGAGCCCTATTTGGAAACATGGTTTGGAAAAATTAAAAAAAAAAAAAAAGGTTAAATATAAACTCCCAAAGCATTGTAATTTTTTAAATGGTTAAAATCATACATGTACTTCATAATTTACCTAAGTAATTTTACTCTTATTTTCCCACTACTGTGAATTTTCCTTTTTATTCAAAGGTAGGGAGAGAAAAAAAATTAACTTAATTATTGAGGACGAGGAAAATAAACATTTGACAGTAAATTAGAGGAGAACCATATTAACCTTATAGCAGCTTTTTTTAAAAAAAATAAAAAATAAAAAAGATATTTTTCTATTAACTTTTACATTAGTCAAGATGAATTTTTTTTAGTGCTCTTGAGAGTTGTCTCTATCAACTTCATTACATTCAAAAGAATGAACTCTTTTAGTTGTTGATCCAACATTTAAACTTCTATTTTGTTGTTGAGATGACTTTTCTATTGCTCTTGAGAGTTGTCTCTATCAACTTCATTACATTCAAAAGAATGAACTCTTTTAGTTGTTGATCCAACATTCAAACTTCTATTTTGTTTAGCACAGTTATATATATGGAAAATCTACTTATTATTATACTACATAATAAATTTTCTGTAGCAATCGATTTTAATTATGTATTATGGGTAGTACATAGTTAT